CCCCGGGCGAGGGGGCGGCCCCGGGCGAGGCGAGGAGGCTGCTACGGGAACCGAAACCGAAACGGAGCTCGCAGCCATCTTGCCGGGGTGACCGGTTGCCCGCAGCCCACCCTGCACCGCCTCCCCTCGGGAGAAGTTCTGCGAGTCAGGGTTGCTTTTTTCCATTTAGTTTCTCCCAAAACAAAGGAATTTGGTGTATGGATGAGACTGAGGTAAGAGCATTTTAAAAAAAAAACAACCCTCTCTTCCTGCCTGCTGGGATTTCTGTCCTGCCTTTGGCTCAAGGATCACATTTAAAATGAGTTCATTGAGTAGGGGGGCGGTGGGAGCCCCCCTCGCTGCACTGAGCCTCCCCAGCACCGCCAGTGGAGCCCATGTTTGTCGAGGTTGGTAAAATAAGTCACGGTGGTGACAGTTGGAGGCTGTTAATGACGTTGTTTAATGAAAGGGAAATTTAAAAACGGGCGTGAGGTGTGTTTGGTGAAGACAGGGAGTTTTAGGAAGATACGACTTGCATTGGAAAAACTATCTTTATGAAGATGGGTGCCTTAAAGAGGTCACCGGGAAGAAGGTAGGACGGAGACCTAGCAGCAGGTATCGGTTGCATGTTTTTATCCATTCAGTGTCACAAGCAACTGTTGTCAAAGAACTAAAATGTATCCTGTGCTGGGTTACTTATTTTTTAAAAGCATATTAAAAGCTTAGACTTGTGTCCTGTACCCGAGGGGGGTGGCACAACTGTGCGTGATACGAGTGAAATTTGGGCTACAGTCCTAAAAACTTTTTGTACCATTGCCAGCTCCACACCTATCCAATTTCTCTGCATGTTAACGCTTTACTTGCCCTGTGGCGTGGTGCTTTATGTCTACGGGTCACGTAGCGTCTAGGAAACAGAGGACATTTGGAGTTTCAGACTTTTTTGGCAACGAGTTGCAAGCCTATTGCAGCTCTGTCCTGTGTGACCATGTGAGCTGCTTCACCTCCTTGTGCCCCTGTTTCTCTGATTGCAAAGGGGGCCTGAGATTTCTCCTCTCCCTCAGGGCAGGGGAGTGAAAAACTCACTTGTGTTTCGGAAGCGGAGGGTGAACCTTCGACAGAAGGCATCGTGAACAGACAAACTGCCCCCGTGCAGCTAGCTTGAAATTCAGTCTAATGGGAACCGAGAGTCGCTCTTATTATAGTCTTTTCTTGTGGTTAACTTCGCCTGCGATTCCTGACTGCTGAGTTCTGTGCTGGGCAGACAGGGAGTTTGCGATTTGTGTTTACGTGAATAATTTAGACCGGTAGAAAACAAGCTTGCTGAGGTGAAGATGCTTGAAATGCCTCAGTAGCAGGGAAGCTGTGTAAACTGCATTTCTTGAATCCTGTAGTTGTGTAAATAGGTTCTGAATTGCTGTGGTTTTCCTACTAGCAGGCACCTGCTCAGGACGGGAGAGTGCAGAGAGAATCGCAGCTCCCCTTCTTCTGGTGCGCAAGCAGCCCGATTCACACCTGCATCCCAGCAGTGCGCTATGAACAGAGGCGCTGGTCGAGGCAGAGGCTCGTATCTTACCCGGTCAAGACGTAACTGCCCCAGCACTAATCAAGGTTTTTTTAACCGCCCTTGTACCCCACAAGAAACTAATCAGGAAACCTTTTTACACCAGCAGTTCCTAACAGAGCGGGACACTGAAGTCTATTTGCTTCAAGGACAGGGATCACACAACGATTCACGCAACAGAGGTGTGCAAGCTGCGGCACTGCCTCCTGCAGAGAGATGGCAACCCAGGTGCGGCAGAGCAGGATGGCATAGGTTCTCCAGCAAGCATCTGCAGGTAGAGTCTTTGCCACAGGAGACTTCAACTCCTCAGCACCGTCGTCAGGAGGACTCGGAGAGAGGTTCTGACACCATCGGGCTGAATTTCCAGAGACTGTCTCTTGCTGGGCAAAACTGTGAACAAGAAATTCTGACTGTTTTCAGGCAGCTTGGGGAGGGGAAGTCTTGTACAGTTCATGATCTTGCACATAAACTTAAAACTCAAAAGAAAGAGATCAACCGTGTTTTGTATAAACTCTTGAGAGAAGGCAAGTTGCACAAAGGTGGAGAGACGCCGCCACTGTGGAGGATTGCCTGCCCAAGCACAGGGAGAGAAAGAAGCCCCGCTGACCACGGCGGTGGTCGCACAGATCCGGCTTCTGAGAGCAGAGGGGAAGAGAGGAGCACAGTTGGCTCAGGAGACACCGATCCCGTGATGGCTGAGACGAAGGACAAAATCTGCAACTACTTGTTCAGCGTGGCCGAAACAACAGCGCTCAACCTTGCCAAGAACATTGGGTTTTCGAGGGCCAAGGATGTTAATGCCTTTCTTAGCGCTCTGGAAAAGCTGGGAGATGTCCACAAGCAGAACACAAGCCCCCCACGGTGGTCCCTGACAGACAGGAAACGTGAGCGGATGCAGATGAGGCTGAAGGCCAGCGCGGTAATACAGACAGCGGATCCCACACCTGAACCAGGTTTTCAACCTTCCTCTGTTCCTCCGTGTCCCCAGGAGACGACTGCAGCTTCACCAGCAGTGACGGCATCAGAAGAGGAAAGTACAGAAAACGGACAGCAGCCTTTGGGGCAAACTGATCAGAGCGATGCCAGTGACACAGAAGCAGCCCCACCTGAGGACCCTAAGCCCGAATTCTCCAGTTTGAGTAATTATGATAACTCTGAAAATGGCAAGTGGGCCACAGATGATATCCCAGATAATCTGAATACTATCAACAAGCAGCCCGATGAGTCAGAATCCATCATGAATTCCCAGTCTTCCCCCAGTTACGCTGCCCAGTTTGAAACTGCTTTCCCTTGCACGCCAGTAGAGAAACTGATGGCTTGTCAGGAGAAGAACCCAGTGAGTGGCCTTACTGAATATTCCCAGTACACGTACCAGCACTGTGAGTTCACCATGCTGGAGCAGAGTGGACCCTCTCACGAGCCACGGTAAGAAAATTTCCTACCTTTCCTGAGCTGTCTTTTTGCTTAAAATGATCTGACGTCAACTAACTTCACCCACTCAACTTTGTCCTGAAGGATCTGCTCATTAATGTTTACTTCATTTCAGAAGGATTAGCGTAGTTGATTCCTTGCAGCAGGTTAAAAAAAAAAAGGCAAAACAAGGCTAAAATTTAACCCCAGGTAGCCCAGTTTTGGCAACCCTGCACCTCATTCTGAGCAACGAAGGTGAGATTCATCTCTTCAGCTAGGTCCTGTCTGATTTAATCACCTGGCTTTCAATTTGATTGTATAGGGGAAAACTGGTATTTCTAAGCTACCTCTCAAGAGGCTCTTACCCTGGAAGTGGTATAAAGGGAGCCCAGAACAAAGTGATTGGGTGCAGGTGATGTCTTGGGTTAGATGAGGTGAACCCATAGCGGGCCAGAACGGCCTCTGTGAGCAGAGCGTGTAGCATAACACTAGGGTTTGTGGAGTCAGTCTCTGGAGTCCTGCTTCCCCTTGCAAAATCACGGCTGTTCCTGAGCACCAGTGAGACGATGAAAAGCACCATATGTGCGATGATGGAATATGTCAATAGATCCACTAGACGGGAAAATTGGCCTAATTTCTAAAGATGGAGTCCCAGGCTTTTTTTTTTTTAAGGAGGGATCTGAATGGATTCAGTCCTATAACCCTTCTCCAGATCTGGTTTTACCCGTCCTCGTTGGAAGCAGGTTTCCTCTGTATAGGGCTGGAAAACAGAAGAAGAAGCCGTGTTTGTTAGAGTTCACAGGGAAGAGAGAGACAGGAACATCAAAGGCGAGAGGTTTATGTGAGGCAGCACCTCTCAGATGGTGTGAAGGCACTGGATAGCCAGGGAAAATGCCGGAGGGATGAGTGACCCCAAATGACCAGGTGCAGGCTGCTTTTAAGCTTTCTTTATCCCTGTGCTGGAGACATAACTGAACTGCTCTTTGCATACAGCCATTACACGTTTCTGGCACTTGTGGAACAAGGCAGTTCATCCTGTTCCTTCAGAAGAAAATCTGGAGCTGCTCCTCTGTCACGAACAGCTCTGGAAACGCAACGAAACGAGGCTTAGATGCAGAGCTGTCGGGGCACCTTTGGTATTTTTGTCTTCTGCCCATGGCAGCCTGGGTTTGCTCTCCCAGCCAGGAGCTAGCTGTTCCTCCTCACTTGAATTCCAAGAGCAGCCTTACTTGGTTGCTCTGAGAAGACCACATTTTTGCCTCTCGATTTACCTCTTTGGTTTTCTCTTTCAAAGGTTTAAGTTCCAGGCAGTGATTAATGGGCGCCGATTCCCACCAGCAGAAGCAGGAAGCAAAAAACTCGCTAAACAGGAGGCAGCAGCTAACGCTATGAAGGTCCTGATGAGTGAAGCAGAGAATGGAAGACATGGTGGAATTAAATGTGAAGAGCCATTTCCCTCCGACAACTCTGAACCGGAACTGGTGAGTCTCGTTTGCTTTACTTGTGAGGCTGATCAAACAGTGTTTAGTCTGAAACTGGTTTCCTCCCTCTTCTTGCTGTAGTCTTTGCATCCAGAGCCAGAACCATCATCTGCATCAGCTCATCTCAGCCTGCTTCCGGGGAAGCACCCTATCAGCATATTAATGGAGTATGGACAAAAGTCAGGGAACACAGTTGAATTCCAGCTGCTCTCTCAGGAAGGCCCACCTCATGATCCCAGGTATGGCATATTGTTGTCAGCTTTGGGGACGATAGAAACCCTTTCTTTAATGTCCTTCCTCTTCAGCACACTACCCATGATCCCAGACTCATCATTGACCTAGCTGAATGCTCCTCGTATTTGAGGAATCTGGGCATGGCTCCTCCAAGACATCTGCCTCCAGAAAGAGACCAAACCCAATGCCCTTTCTCACAGAAAGGGTGCTGTTTCTTCTGCCAGACCAGGAACAGGTTCCAGTCCCACACCCTACCTGGTAGTGCTCTACTGGGAGTACTTAGGGCCGTTGTGGTAGATTTACATTGGAGATAACCCAGAAGGATTCAACACGAACTGGGAGAAGGGGATAATAAACAGATCGAGACACCTATGCTTAACACTTTTCATATGCTATAATGTCCTGTCAGGTTCAGCTACTGTGTGAAAATGGGTGACCAAATTTTCCCTGCTGTGGTAGGAAACAGCAAGAAGGGAGCAAAGCAAATGGCAGCAGAAGTTGCTGTGAAGATTCTTTCTGGAGAGTCTGTACCCCATGTCTTGCCTGAACAGGTACAAAGAGCTTCTTTGTAAGACCCAAGTGTTCTGGGTTGGGTTCCCTCCCACCTTTATTTCATATTCTGCTGGATTTCACCCCACAAGGTCATGTGCTGGCTCTAGCAGAGGTTTGCTGAGCGCTCTTGGCCTGCGGTAATACCAGCTGCTCAATATTTAACAGCCTTCTCCTGTCTAACTCTGCTCTAGCCTGTCGTGAAGCCCCATGGTGACCAGTCCATGCACAGCTGTGGACCATGGATCGCCACTCCAGATGAATCCAAGGTGGCGAAAGCGAAGGGTGTTGGGGAGCTCATCAAATACCTTAATGTCAATCCTGTCAGTGGCCTGCTGGAATATGCCCGCTCCAATGGGTTTGCTGCAGAGTTCAAACTCATTGACCAGTCAGGACCTCCCCATGACCCCAAGTAAGTAGCTGCATCTGTCCAGGAGGAAATTTTGCACTGTTCCTGTTGGTCCTGGAGAAAGGGCAGAGGCCAGAAAATTCCCGATGCAGCTTGAGATGGCAACAGGCCGAGCTGCTGCCTCTACCAAACCTTACGTCCAGGTGACAATAAGCTACCTCCACTCCTCTCTTCTCTCCACTGAGATAATTTACAAAACAGACCGAAATCCATAGGTTTCTTGGTTTCTGAGAGGTGCGCTGCTGTCTTTATAGGTTTGTCTATCAGGCGAAGGTTGGAGGCCGGTGGTTCCCAGCTGTAACTGCACACAATAAAAAGCAGGGCAAGCAGGAGGCAGCTGATGCAGCGCTCAGAGTCCTGATTGGGGAAACAGAGAAGATTGAGCGCATGGAGGGAATGAACATCACTGAGGTAAATCCTCTTCCTCCAAAGCTGAGACTGCTTTTGTAGCCCTGCCCGACCTATGCCTTTCAGTCCAACAGAAAAATGCCTTCAAGATCAACTGCAAGATCTTTGTTCTCTGAAGGTGTAGATAAGCTGACGTTTTCCTGAAGTGGGTTAGATGTTTCCTCAGGGCACAGATGTACTCTTCCCTCCTGCTGGTCTCTGCTTTAGGGCTAAATTATAATCAGATTCTTCCACAAGCTACTGAAATGTGTTCCTGTGCTGAAGCAGGAGCATGCTCCTTTTTAATTCTGTGACTTTTCCTTTTTTCCTCCTTCCAAATTCCTTCATACTGCATTAAAAATTGTGTGTCAGCTCAAAAACTCATGCATCAGATAAGAGCAAAGCTCTGGTTGTGTCAGGATGGCTGTCCCAAACCTGTGCTGCTTTAAATCACGCTTAGAGTTTTGTGATCTCTTAAAAGCTCCGTTCCAGGCTGCACAGCTGAGCACGGCAGCTGTGGCTCTAAATAGAAAAGCCATCAGGGAGGATTTGTCAGTCAGTGGTGCTAGAGGAGGCAAGTGCTCGTCTGCAGTGGGAGAGGCTGTGCAGTCTCGTCACAGGCAGCCAGAGAAGGAATTCCTCCAAAGCCAGTAACAGATTTCCTTGGCTGAGTCTCTGGGAACAGGCAAGATGGGTTTTGTTCCTTTGCGATGGGGATTTCCCCTGGCAATCTCGAGAGGCCATTCCTCAGCCCGTTTTGCTTGCTGCCAGGAAGACAGCTTGGTGCTGTCTCTCAATGACATGCTCAAAGTAGGACTCAAAGCGTTGGACAAGATTTTCCAGGAAGTACCTAAAAAAAACTTCACCTGTCCATTGAGACGAAACTGTCCATGTACTCAATCCAAAATTGTGCTGCCTGTAGCTCATGTTTTCTGTGTTCCTGCCTTCTGCTTGGATAGCTGTGCTTCGGCTTAGCTGTTTTGTTCTGTGACCTGCTCATGATCTCTTAGCAATCCTGGTCTTGTGTCCCTGTTCCAGCTCCCCGTGAGTGGCAGTACCCTACATGATCAGATGGCTATGCTGAGTCACCAGCGCTTCAACACCCTCACTGCTCGCATCCAGCACAGTCTGCTTGGGCGGAAGATCCTGGCTGCCATCATTATGCGAAAAGGAAATAAGGGCCTGGGAGTGGTGGTCAGCATCGGAACGGGTATGAACAGCTTCTTCCAGCGTAAGCTGACTTCTCACTTCCCCACTAGATTCCCTGCTAAGCACAGCTAGGGAATGGCTGTTGCTCTACGCTTCTTCAGAGAGGGCAAGGAGCCTTCCCAGGGCTTGCGTGGTGTCACAAGTGATCTGGTTATAGAGAGAGAACAAAGCGAATGTGCCTGCAGCTATATTGCTCTTAATCTTTGCTTGCATTGCTGTGTGCTGCTCTGTGCAGCAGAGCATAGATTCCTTGCGTTGTACAGCACAAGATCCCCCAGCTTCTCTCAGCTGCGTGTAGCTTAGCTCCCTTCCTACTCCGCTGCCACACTTCCACCTGGAGTGGTGGGCTGAAAAGCACTTGGGAATGGACACTGCCCCTAAACCTGTGGCAATTTAAGTCTCTGCTGTCCCTAAAGTAGCATGTGCTCCTTGTCACTTTATTTTCCTAACTGCTTGGATCAGGATAATGATTTAATAGTGAGGGTGCTGGTGCTCTCAGGAGCCCAAAGAAGTAAAACTTGAAGCAAGCTAAAACCCTCCCTCTCTCTGTGAAGCTGTGTGTTGACTCTGAGGCTTGCCTTTACTTATTTATTTATTTATTCATTTCAGGTAATCGTTGCGTGAAAGGAGAAGAGCTGAGCTTGAAGGGGGAGACGGTAAATGACTGTCATGCAGAAATCATTTCTCGAAGAGGCTTTGTGAGGTGAGAGAAAGGGAAACCCAAAGGAGAAGGAGAGGGGCCTGCCAAGAGCTGCTGTCCCATTCTAGGGGGATGTAGCTGTGACGAGAGATGAGCTGTGTTGAGAGAGACTGTGATCCTCTTACACTACTATTTACCCGTGTGTTGTAAAATAGAGGGAAGTTATTTCCGATAAGAAGAGGCCATGCCTGAATGGTGCCCAAATTAGTACCGAACTGGAAACTTGCCAAGAGCCCAGGGCCTGCATCTGATGTGCTTAAAATAAAGCATCCTGCAGAGGCTGCTTGGCTGGCGCGCAATGCGCTGTTTCAGTCTGAGCACAGCTCTCTCTGAGCCAGGGTGCTGGGGAATCTGCAGGCCAGGTCCTGTTTTGGCCTTTCTGGGTCTAGGGTGTAGAGGGCTTCAGGAAAACACATCGAATGTGTTTGCATTGGTAAGTCAGAAATCCTTTTTCATCGGTTGGAAAGGGTTTTCCCAACTAAACTGCACAATTGTTCTCTTCTCTTTATAAACATTCAGTGTGGTGCTTTTTGAATTTAAATTTTAAACTAAAGTGAGATGAAGTTGGACTAGCCTTGTTGATGTCCAACCTTCCAGTTACGAACAGCAAAGCCAGCTGCTTTCTTAAAGCCTTTGCCTGCTGCCACTATACTCTGTGTGTTCCTCAGCACTGGAAGGTGTTGAGGGCAAGGCCCCGGAAAGCTGTAAAGTCAGAGGATTTACACTCTTGCTTACTGTCTCGGCTATTAATCTTGACAGTCACGGCTGCTGAGCTGCTCTGGCACGGCAAAACCTCTCAGAGACGAGAACAGTGAGCTCCACCTCTCCTTGCAAAATAAGTCCCTGCACAGACTCTACTTGAGGAGTCTCTGTGAAGCTGCAGTTTTTCTTCAGTCCTTGACACTGTGTTGGAGACCTCAAGGTTTTTCCCTGTCCCCAGTCAGAAGCAGCCATAAAAGACCCAGTCGTTGTAAATAGATCGTGGGGTTGTGCTAATAATACCACTTGCGTTCAGCTGCCTGTGGAGCTGTTTACTCTTAATGCAAACCTGGTGCTGACTAAAGGTGCTAGGTTAACAACCTTGAAGTCTTCTTCACACTCGGATCAGATGCACGCAAGCAGCAGCCAGCCAGGCTCCTTTCTCTCTCCTGCCAGTGCTTCCCTCTGCTCACCTGGCAGAATGCTTATTTTCTATTGCGTGTCCTCTGTGTGGCAGGAAATCTGCTTGATCTCATGCCTTTTCTGTAGTGTCAAACGCTACTCGTTGGCTTCCAGGTATTCTCAGCCACAGCTCCTGGTCTTTGCTCTCCCATGTGGCAGGAGCAGGTGACTTGGAGCGACAGAGGGCTGGGGACCCTGCCTGTCCCGGGCACAGGCAGCAGTTGGATTGAAGTGCTCCTTGTCCGAGGAGCAAAGCAGCCTTTTGACATGATGTTACTATTTTCAGGTTTCTCTATAGTGAGCTGATGAAGTACGACCCGTCTGATCCTGCCTCTGCAGAACAGAGCATTTTTGAGCCAGCTGGAGGGAAGAGACTCAGAATAAAGAGCAGCATTACCTTTCACCTCTACGTCAGGTTTGTGGGGAGGTGTGCAGGGAGGGATCAGTGTCAGCGGCACTATCGCACCCCTGGCCCTGGCTGTTTTCTGCATCGGTGCTAACCTGGGGAGTGTTTGTTTTCTAGCACAGCACCTTGTGGGGACGGGGCGCTCTTTGATAAATCCTGCAGCGATCAGGCGAGCGTGGTGGGACAAGCCCAGCATCAGCCTCTCTTTGAGAACCCCAAACAAGGCAAGCTGCGGACCAAGGTGGAGAACGGTGAGTGGTGCGATCGCTCCCTGCGTAGTGGGGTGGCTCCTCCTCTCCTCTGAGCCTTTCTGGAGCTCCAGAGTTTCCTTCCCTCTGTCTGTGTGGTGCTGTTGTGGGATTTGAAGCATTCGGGAACCAGAGGAGGTGAGCGAAAGGGACGGGAGTGTTAAGAGTCCCTTCTCCTTCCCAACTCTGCCTGTTGGACTGCTGCGCTAGCAGGAGTACAGCTGAAGTTTGCTGCAAATCTTGTAAGTCGCTGACCTCTCTTTCAAGCGCTATTTCGTTCTGCTTCAGCCGCGTTAAAAATTACTCACCTGTAATCGGTACGGAGTTCCTTTTTTTCACGTGATAGCAAAATGTTCCCAGAACCTGGTGACAGACAAACTCCAGAGGTCACTCCATGCCTGGGTACAGAAGATGCTTTCTTGTGCAGTTGCTGGTGGAGTTTTGATTTATATGATACCTGACTCTACAGAAAACCTTTCTTCTCTTGTGCAGGGGAAGGTACCATTCCTGTGGAGTCGAGTGACATTGTGCCCACGTGGGATGGGATCCAGCACGGGGAGCGGTTACGAACCATGTCCTGCAGTGACAAAATCTTACGCTGGAATGTACTTGGCTTGCAAGGAGCATTGCTGTCACACTTCATAGAGCCAGTTTATCTCAGCTCTGTTACACTTGGTATGAGACCCGCTGTCCTTTCTGGGCTGGGCTGGATGTGCTGCCCCGCTCCCTAGAACTGGGCTGCAGCGACAAATAACCTCCCTTCCCCGAGTGATGGAAAAGCTTGTTTGTGGAGGCTGTAGGAGTAACAGACCGAAACGTCGTTCTTGGCAGAGCTGTGCTGTTTGGAAGTGAAAAGGGAGTTTGTGGATTTTATGCTGTGGGTGGAGTGGGATTTTCTCCAAGGTTCTTGATTTTTTTTTTTAGAAGGCACATGTGATCTAGGAGAGTGAGAGAAAAATTCCCTGTTTGTGTCTTCAGTGAGAAGTGTTGCAGTCTATAAACCTTCATCTTAGACATCTAGGGTACACGTAGCTGTTGCTGATCCACATGGCCGCGAGCTTTCTGGAGTTTGTGAGAAGCGCTGTGATTCTTGGGGTTCGGCCTGTCCGTAGCCTGTGCCATTCCTGTTGCCTAATGCCTTCACGTCTGTCTTCACAGGTTACTTGTACAGTCAGGGTCATTTAACACGTGCGATCTGCTGCCGCGTGGCAAGGGATGGGAATGCGCTGCAGGAAAATCTCCGAGCTCCGTATCACATTAACCATCCTGAGGTACTGAGGGCTTGGCACCTCTTTTTCTGTCCCCTCTTCCACCTCTGCCCTTGGGTTCGGGGCTCCCCGCGGTGCTCTGAGGCGGGGGGGGTCACCTGGCAGAAGTTCTCCAGCCAGAGTAAGGGATTAATGGCCAGAAACCTGTCCCCTTTGTGTTGTCCCACAGTGTCTGGGGGTTACTGGCCATGACTTGGTCTGGGGAAAGGGAGATCAAGGTCACCCCCGTAGCCTTCAGCTTGGTGAAAACCCAGTGCTTCCTGCTGTCAGGAGTTTGGGATGAGCTGAACCCCTGCCTGCAGGGGATGGAAGAGGCAAGAGGCTCCCCTTAGCAGGGAGCTCACACAGCAGGACGGGTGTTAAGAAACCCTTTTGTCTCTTACGCAGGTTGGGCGAGTCAGCGTATACGACTCTGCAAGGCAGACGGGCAAGACAAAGGAGTCTTCGGTGAATTGGTGCCTTGCTGATGAAAGCGAAGTTGAAGTCTTGGATGGCACGAAAGGGAAGGTAGATGGGTAAGAAGAGCCTTTCCTGACGCTGCTTTTTTGTTTGGGGAAAGGGGGGCAGCTCTGAAGTCACGAGTACGCTCTGCGCTCTTACAGCACCTTAGGTGTGGGGAGGGTTGGGGAGAGGAATTCCAACCTGACGTGAGCGAGCACTCTTGAAGTAAAACAAAATATTGCCCGGCCCCTACTACAGAGCCCTGCTGAGCCAAGAAATCTCACAGGCGTCCCATTTTGGGTTTTTCCCCAAGCCCCCTGCTCCTCTTTGCTCTTTGGAGTGTCATGTCCTTCATTGCTGCCTTTGTCTTCCTTCTCAGACCAAAGCTGGAGGTGTCTCGTGTGTCCAAGAGGAAAATGTTCGCCCTATTCCAGCAGTTGTGTGCCAAGAACAACTGCAAAGAGCTGCAGAACCTCTCGGTGTACTCGGATGCTAAGGAGGCAGCCACAGCGTACCAGGAAGCCAAGCAATGCTTCTTCAGCACGCTGGAAGAGATGGGCTACGGCAGCTGGATCCGCAAGCCCCAAGAGGGAGATAATTTCTCTTAAAAAGTCTCCCTGCGTGTGTGGGGGGGTGAGTGTGCACAGGCGTGTGCATGGGTGTACGCGTCCTTCTTTCACCACCTTCTTTTTGAAGTGGGATCAGGAGCGTGCAGCGGTTTCCCCTGTAGGCCTGGCTGCCTTCTCTCTCTCTGCTCTTGTTACTCTGAGACCCTGCCCTTTCTCTTTTTAAAACATGCATGAAAATTACCGTCTTTTTTTTAAGCTAGGGCAGTCTCAGTCCCCATTTTGCTTTTATGTTTTTGTCTCCTGTTTTTTTTTAAAAAGGCACAAGAAACCAGAGGGATTTTCAGACTGTGAGCTCGAAACCTTTGGACCGTGCACTGCAGATCCCTCTGGCAGGTTTTGAGGCAAATTTTCTCTTTTGAGAAAAAAAAAAAAGAAAAACACAAACCTGACTGGCTGGTTTTATGTGTCTCTGTCGGGGAAGGTGGCTGGCAGCACGTCTGAGCTGGGACACGGGACTGATTTCTGCAGGACACCAGCAGGACCAGCATAACATTCCGCATTAATAATAAAAAAGAAAATTTCTGTATTATTAGCTGGCGCTGTGCCACGGGTGTGTTCATTCCTGCAGAGGGGAAGAGAGGCCCTGGGTGGAGTTGGGTGGGGTTTGGAGAGGAACAGAGGTGGGTTATCGTTTGCTAAATGATAACTCATTTCGTTCAACAGAGGTGAGTTATTGTTTGCTAAATGATAACGTTATGATCAGTTAGAACTGTGGCAGTTGGGAATTAAGCCTCCTGCATTAAGCCGGGGGCTCATCAGGCAGAACTGAGTCCTTGGAGGGCTTGAGTGCACCCTGAAATGATGGGGCAGGGTTCTCCTGGCTCCTTCCCCCGCTTCTGTCTGTAGGATGAGGGGTCTCGTCTCCAGTCTTGGGAGGTCGCTTGGGAGGCTGGTGGTGGCTGCAGGCCGTGTTGTGTGTCTGAGCTCAGCCGTGCGCCAGACGCGCTTGTAGAAGGTGAGAAGTAAAGACGCTGTTGCCATCTAACAGCAAGTTTATTAGGTGGTGTGGAGCACCCTGCTGTTGGAGCAACCCCTTTCCCCACGCACGGCTTGTCCTGGCTTTGCCTGGGACGGAGCAGTTGACACCGGTGAGATCGGACAAAGGGACCACGAAGCGGTTAGTGTGGAAGCGTAGCCCAAACCCAAGAGGAGAAGTCCTGAGGCTGGGGGAGCCCAGCCCAGGCAGCAAGGCCCCAGCTCTGGCTGTGCCTCGGGCTTGTGCATCTCTCCCCAGGCAGCAGGAAGGGACGTCTGCAGGTTAAACGCTTGCTGAAAGGCTGGCTGGTGTGGGCTCGCTCTGCCCGACAGCGCTTGGGCACTGACTGCGGTGCAGAGCTGCGAGGGTTGGCAGCAGCCAGGGCATCCATCCTGCTCTCCCCAGCGCACGGAGCAGGGCACTGGCCCAAGGACAGAGCTGGGGGCTCCTCCGTCTGTGGTGGGCCCCCCCCATCGTGCTGCTGGTTGCTCAGGGTGCTGTGCCTGGAGCTATCGGGGCTCCCGCTGTGTTCCCCGCACCCTCCTGCTCTCCCAGTCTCCGCTCCCCACCGGGGTGCAGCGGGACCCCCGTCCTGCACTCGCCCAGGGCTGCACCGACAGCAGAGGGGACGCAGAGGTGGGACAAAGCGGGACAAACCCCTGGCATGGAGCTGCTTTAGGGGCAAAGCTCAACGTGTAATTGTTGGGGTGCACCCCGAGAGGAGGAGGTCCAGGAGCATCAGCTGGAGCAGCCCAGGATTTCTCTGGCTGGGTGAAGTGCTGGGATTTAAACTAATTTCTAGCGTGCGGCTTCCCCCGGCACTGTGTGCTGCTGGCCCCCATCTGCGCCGCGCTCCCCCCAGCACAGGGGATTAGTGGTATTTATAGCAAATGCTCCATTTCAATTTTTCCCCGATGAGGCCAATTCCTGCCTGCGAGGGAGAGCAGGGGAAGCGCTGCCGGACTGGCCAGGGTTGGGAGCCCAGCACGCCGGAGGCCTGGCTGCTCCCGGCTCGAGTTGTCATGGATTTGTATTTTCCTTTTCCTCGCCCAATTCATCCCTTGAGGACGGTGGCACTGCTGGAGCACAGAGCAGCCCCCAGCGCTCGCTGCCCTG